TAGGAATTGGAAAAAAAATAACCATTATTCTTGTAATATTATGCTTTTTTTCCATTCTGGAAAAGACATCTTTTTTTTGACAAAAAAAATAAGATTTACCATTAGGCTTTTTATCCTGGTAAAGATTGAGTGGTTTAGATTTCACTATTACCAGGGACAGTGGTTACTACAGTGGACGGCTTTTCCTGTTATCAGTTTACAGGGTGAATAAAAAGGTTCATTTAATTGGTGTATCGAAGTTAGTATTTTTTTGGTCAAATCCATTTCTGTCTGTACTTGCTAACTATGACGCTACGATTGTACTGAGCGGCGAGATGTTTTTGTTTGTTGTAATCATTTCCATTTCCTGTTCAATGGTTACTGTCACACTTTTCTTCAGCCATCATCGCTACCCTGGTGGCATCTCACACACACACACACACACACACACACACACACACACACACACACACACACACACACACACACACACACACACGCACACAGGTAAATAAACACACAAAAATCAACTACCGGTTGTTGATGTGAATGAGCCCGTGATGGCGACTCGGACCATTTTGAAATCAGTCACGAGTGTGCAATCAGGACAAACAGATGGCACGCAATGGCTGAGATAAGGCCTGAAACGCTCGTGTGCATCGGCGTCACTATGGAGACCGTCACACTCTCGAGGGTTACTAATGGCCATCAATTAGTCGGGAGACGCAACAAAGCAGCTCCGGTGTGAGAAATGGGCAGATGTTCAGATACGGTTTTGTCCGTGTCGGAAAGCTTTACGTGCCTGGGATGATTACGGCAGGTAGACATGATGAGAGCTGGGCTGCAGCTTCGGTGCCAGTGGTTGGAGAAGACACTCAGCAAAGATGGCAGAGAGGAAGTTTGGGTTTATTTCCACCAATTTGAGAAATTCTATAGATTAGGGGAGTCGCTGATGGTGTCGTGGTACACTCGCCTGACTTGTGTGTGTGTGTGTGTGTGGGGGGGGGGTGAGGGGGGGCAGTGTGGGATCATTTCCCACTCAGTGACAGCGTGGATGGTTGTCTGTTTCTATATGTGCCCTGCGACTGACTGACTGGCGACCAGTTCAAGGGGTAGTCTGCCTTCCGCATGTTCTGCTTGTGCCTGCCTGGGTTTTCTTCCACATTCTGAAACAAACAAACAAAAAAACTTTGCATGGGAGGCGAATGGAACACTGTAAATTGTCCCTTGGTGTGATTGTGAGTGTGAGCTGGCAACCAGTTCAGGGTGTCACTGGCCTGAAGACGGCTGGGATAGGCTCCAACACGCCCGCGACCTTCGTGAGTATAAGCAGATCAGATAATAGATTGGATGGATGAATGAACTTATTAGTACTGTAAATGTGACATTTCCCTCCCCGATATATCTTTCCAGTAAGAGATGATTTGATATGTATCTCAATTTAATTCAAAGAAGTACGATTTGATGAGTGAAGTGAGTCCATCAGATCTACTCCCATAATTCCTCTGTCGTGATGAACTCATAGCCGGTGGCCCCCTTACTTTTTTTTCGAACTACAAAGGCTGCAGCGTAATAAAAAGTCTTGAGTGACAAGCACCTGGAGAGGGTTGATAAGCACCTGGTGTTGAATCATAGTTTGAGCGAGAGACATTTTTGGATGACGTTTGAGTCTTTCTTAACATGGCAAGCTAATTTTGTTGCTGTCGGAAAAAATCACAGGCGGTGGTTGTTCTTACGCAGTATGACCAATTTGCGGTCAGGTTTATGATTTGTTTTTTGTGGTTTCTTGCTTGTCATCGGGCACTTTACCGATGCTCTTACGATGCCATGGCAGTTTTATATTCATCACTCAGGTAGCCGGGAAGTCAACGTTTCACATTGTTCCAAAACAACCCTCCATCCATCCATTTTCTGAACCGCTTCATCCTCACAAGGGTCGCGGGGCGTGCTGGAGCCTATCCCAGCCGTCTTCGGGCAGTAGGCGGGGGACACCCTGAACCGGTTGCCAGCCATTCACAGGGTACACACAGACGAACAACCATCCGCGATCACACTCACACCTAGACACAATTTTGAGTGTTCAATCAGCCTGTTTTTTGGAATGTGGGAGGAAACTGGACTACCCGGAGAAAACCCACGCAGGCACGAGGAGAAGATGCAAGCTCCATTCCGGAGCCCGGAATGGAACCCACAACTTCTGCACTGTGAGTTCGACGCGCTAACCACAAATTTAAAGCCAAACTAGTGTTCGACATTTTAAAAAACTGAAGAAATTAAGACATTTAAAAGGGAAATAGAGAAACAAAATATAGTTTACTAAAATTCCTGACAGCGCAAGAATGCGATTTTGGAAAAACATGAATATGGGTGTGAGTGGGGGGGGGCAGCATAGTTTTAAAATCATTTACCCTAAGGGCGAAGTTCAATTCTGCTGGCAGTTTATTTCATGCTATGTGCAGCATAACAGCTAAATGCTGATGCACCATGTTTGCTTTAAACTCTGGGTTCCTCTCATTGACCTGACTCTGCTGACCTCAGAACCCTAATGGGTTTATATTTATTCCATGAGCATTTCTTAACTGTATTCAGGACCTGAGACACTCAGTGATTTATAGGCCAGTAACATAATTTTAAAATCTAATCTCAGCAGGTGCTACTCGGTACCCAACAGAAAACACTCGTATCCAGTGAGTCGGGACTCCAACTGCGCAAGGCAGATTTAAATTTGACAGGTATAAACACAAACCGCAAAGACAAACATTCCACTAACGCGGAAATTTGCCCCCTAGCTGTGACAGTTATCAACTATAAACGTCACAAAAGTCACAATAAAGCGCAAGATTGTTTCTCATTGCAAAACTCAAGCGCAAGATGACTTTCCACTTTGGTCTTACGGTTCACAAGCGAAGGCTTAAATCTCTTTTTGTGAGCCGATTTATTGTTGACGGGGGGGCGCGCGTAGCCGTGCGGCAGTAATTGCAGCGTGCGGCAGCTCGCGCCCGCTGGAGCGCAAACAACTGAATAAATCGAGATAGCGCACTCATTTGAACGTTTGACATTTACTGATGAGGCAATTAAGGGGAGGGAATCAAAAACACACTGACTACAAGTGCACAAACTGCGGCGGCGGTGGTGGCGGCGCCGTCTTGCTCTCACGCCAAACGGACACTATCGTGTCATGTCCACAGGCGCAGGTGACACATTTGAATTGGATTAAACACACACAAGAGTCGCAAAAAGGACGCCAGAACCTGCCGTCATTTTCAGACGATGATGGTTGTCCACTGTAGAGACACAGACATATTTAGTTTTTATCTTCCCTAGGTTGAAGTCACTCACTAAGCACTGTGCTTGATCTTGTGTGAGAAAAATTGCATGAATCCAATTTGCATATTTGCGAGTAATTTATGGATGCTCAAAAGCCGAATGTCAGATGAGGGTGAACACCGAAGCGCCAAACGCCACTACCTGGTTCCGTGTGATAATGGCAAGGTCAAGCAGCCGACATTTGCTTTGCGGCACTTAATTATTGCGCTGACATCTGTGGCATCACTTCATTAGTCGCGTAAATTAACCCTGCGATTCTCAAAAGGCTGCTGTAGTCACTGGCCTATCATTGTTTCGCTCTAAATCTTCTTTCATTTGTGAAGTTTTAGTGCATAGGTTTAATCATCCACCGGAGTGAGAGTCAGCTCTACTTCTTACTAGTACATGTCCGGTACCGGGACTTTTTCTGTGTATTCGATGGTGAAGTTTTACACTGCAGTCTAAAAAAAAAAAAAACCCAGAAAGTAGAAAAATTGCATTATAAAGTAAGCACTGTAATTTTTGTTAAGTGTAGCCTTCATACAAGAGTGGTTATGTGACTGATTCAAAATTGGAGAAATGCATAACCAGGATTTTTTTTTTAAGAGGAGAATTCCTCAGTGAATAATGGACGAGTCTTGATGGCAAAATTCAGACGCAAGCAGGAGGTGAGCCTCGATGAAGGTGAACAATTGGATGGTGACTGTTGGTTGGACTTCCGAGACTATAATTAGTATGCTGTATCAATGTAGATAGAAAGTGGAGACAATACAAGAACAACTCATTTAAAATTGCAAAAGCAGAAAAGAATGAAAGTGAGTGACAAGGGGGACGAAAGGAAAAAAAAGAGATGAGGAAAAAAAGTTTTGAGGTGACAAGTGAGCCGTGAGAAAACAAACAGGAGGAGGTGGGGTGGGGTGGGGGTGGCATGAAGGTCCGGGGGTACTTCTTGTGTGCGAGTGGACTGAATTGAAGTCAATTCAGAGTTCAATCATGTCTTCCATCTTGTGTGCTGCCAAGTTCTGTTGAAGAAAAAAAGACCGGGACATTCGGTCCCTGCTATACATTCATGGCCAGACCCTGTCGGAGCTCACAGACAACAAAACAACTTCTTTTAACTCATTTACACAATTCAAATTCAGGGGTCTATGATGCAACATTATTTTCATTGAAAATGGGGAAAACAATCTTTGCGGGCTGTTTTGGAGCACGTTTGAGTATTTGACAACCTGGAATGTCACTACAGCACAATAGGCACAACCAACTGAATGACTATGATGAAGTAAACATCGTTGGCCGCTTTTAATTAAAAAAAAAAATCCCCTTCGCTTCACATTGTTACTGGTGCGCTTCCATTTCTTAACCAAACAAAAGGAACAAATTAAACACAAGCACATGTAAGATAGCTCACAGAACCTGTTCTTAGGAAATAAACAGGAATAAAATTGTGGAACTCCTTTAAGACAATGTGAGGGGTGTGTCAAACACAAAGCAAAAGTTGCTGAGTAGGTAGTAAATACAAAAGAAATACAGTATGGGTAGAATCTAATAACGGCAGACGACATGCACTGTGAACTTCAGCTATTTAACACACAAGCTAATGTGTCACATGGCTGACATAATCCACCTATACTTCGTCAAAGGGTGAGAGTCAAGATGACAAGGAGGATGACAAGGAGGATGTGCACGTGGATGTGGTGTTTCTTTAAAAAAAAATAAAAACACTGCCAACTAGAGGGTTGGCATGTACATTACATTCTTTCCATTGTCGTAGTTCAGCTCCCAAACACTCACGGAAATTAACAAAAAAAAAAAAAAACAAATAAATAAATAAATAGAAATGTACTACAGTATCGGTCTCCAATATTTCCCAACGTACTGTTAGACGCCAACCGTTAAACCCTTCTCGTGTGTGGCTTTGTGTAGCTCCCCGGCGGCTCCGCCCCTCTCACTCAGATGTGCATGCCCACCTCCCACCCCACTCCCAAAAAAGAAGAAAAAAAAACGGAAGAAAAGAAAGGGGTCCAGCATTACCAGCAGCAACTATGTGACAGACAGACAACGCGGATCCTCGGCTCTGCTCGCAGGTATCCGCGGAGGCACAACCGAATCACCACCACCACCTCCACCTCTCTCCGGACGATCGTGGCAGCATTCCGGCAGCGCTTCTGAGGTCAGCATTTTCTTTAATTTATTGTTCTTCCGACATATACCGGCTCTTCTTCCCATGCAATTGGCTGCATGTGAGTGTGTGAAGGGAGCATCTGGCTGCACGCGCACATAACACTCACGCCCACACACAGAGAGAAACACATTAATCAACC